CTTTGGGAAGTGTTTGAGAAGGGAGAGAAGGTCTCTTTTTCCAGAGAATATTGTACCTTGACTCGAAACGCAGTATCAATTATCTTAACGGTTGTTACATAAAGCGCGCTTAGTCATTTTCTTCCTCTTTAACTGCTCGTCTGAAATGGGGAATTTCTCTAACTCCCCAACAACACTGAAATGGAATAAAGTGCAGTTTCCCTCCCAGAAAATCTGCAGTGAGAGCCCCACAACAGGGAGCCCTAAAACCCCCACCACGAAGGGGCAGGACCAAGAATGGCTCATGGAGCCCAGTAGGTGTCATCCCCGGGCTGCTGAGTCCGGGTGTGAGGCCAGCCCTGCCCAGCGCTGAAGCTCCATGCCAACACCGACTTGAGGCCTGGCCCAGCCTGGGCACGTCCTTCGGAGCCAGATGCCTACCACCAGCGGCACGGGCGGCCCCGGGTCCCGCCTCTGCTCTCTCTGTGGACGAAAAGTTTTGCAGGGCCCGGGTGCTGCGCACTTCACTTTGAATTCAATCCACGAAGGTGGGCATGGGCTTTTCGTGACAAGGCTGTTCTGTGGGCCGCGCCCCAATTGCCAGGGGCGTGGCTGTGCCTGGTTTTGGCCCCCAGAATGAATAGCCAATTTGGCTGCTTGCAGCTGTGGCAGCTGCCAGGAAGTTGGACAATAAACTGCCCCCCATTTAACATGGAAGGAGCCGTGCTTGGGCGCGGTACAAGGCAGCTGCAGACCCCCGCGGCCTCCCGGAGAGTGGCTCGGGGTTCAAGTGCACAGTTCTTGTCTGGGAGCATCTGCAGTCCTCCGAGCCAGGGGAGGTGGCCTCTCGGCCCATCCTGCAGCCGCCTGCAGCCGCGTGCCTGCTCCAATCAGCTCCTCTCCACGCAGCCAGGCCGCTCTGCCTCTGAGCCTCCCGCACTCAGTCCTGCTGGACACAGCCTGGCCGTGGTGTCTGCCATGCAGGGCTGACCGGAGGACAGAGGCAGTGACGCTCGAGGCTCACCTGGGGTCCTGCACCTGGCCACCACAGAGGTCCTCATGCTGTCCTACAGTGGCCTCGCTCTGCACCATGACCTCTCTCGCTGGCTTTCTGCATTTAGCAGCCCAGGGACTCTGTGGGACCCACTAGGCCCCACCATGCTCAGACATGCAGTGGGAAATCACCCTCAGTCCACGTCGCCCACGTTTCTGCTGAGCACAGGCTGGGCATGTGGAAGGACTGCCGATGGGAGGGGGCAGGGAGGAGGACAGGCAAAGGAAGGTGCCAGCCTGCGTGTGGTGTGGACGCATAGAGGCCAGGTCCCCTGGCACGGGGTGGGGGGTGGGGTGGAAACTTAGAGGCGGGGCTTGGAGGAAGGTGGGTGCTCCGGGGTCTCCAGCCTCACAGAGGGGACTAGTTCCCGTGACAGCACATGGTCACAGAGCAAAGCCCACCACACGCGCTCTCTCTCCATGTGCGGGTCTCTTCTGCACCGCCACCGTCGCGGTGCCATCCCGTGAGCCGTTCCCTGGGCTGCAGCAGATGCCACTGCCTGATCCTGAATGCCCCGAACCATGAGCTTTATAAAGCACCAGGCCCCAGGTACTGCAAAGCAAAGAGACAGGTGCAAAAGGAAGGGAGGACGCTGAGTGGATGAACGGACAGAGGGACGGAGGGCAGATTCGTGTGGGGATGAGTGGGCGGATGGTGGATGGATATATAGGTGGGCAGATGGATAGATGGATAGATTGTGGTAGGTGGGTGGATGGTGGATGGTGGATGGATGAGTGGACGAGGGTGAATGGATGGCGGGTGGGTGAATGCATAGCTATGTGGAGGAGGAGGAGGAGGAGGGATGACAGGTGATCACTCACTGGATGCTTGGGAACCTGGAGCCCCTGGGGTGTCTGCACTCTCTGACCACCCCCAACAGCAATGCCACCTCAATCCTGTCTGTATTTTCTTTTCTCCATTTATAGTTCCTCTTTCTAAAAGCACCGAGGTGCCCATGCCGCTGGGCTTGCTGCTCAGCTGGGCCTGCTGTCCAGCCTGCCTCCCTCCCCCGAGCAGACACGTTTGGCAGACAGTGGGTTTTGTCATTTCTCTTCCTTGGGCTCTTGTTCCCGGGTAGTAGCTGTGCTTACAGGAAAGCTGGACTTCTCAGAGCGGTGTGGAAATTGGATCCCTGGGTGCCGAGTGTGCGGGGAGCCATAGGGCTCTGGCATGCTGATGAGGTGCAGCCGGCCTAGGGCTCCCAGAGCTCTGCACAGAGAGCGGCTGCTCTGCCTGGTGCCCAGGCCTCTGCTCCCCCAGCCTGCACACAGCGCACCCCAGGAAAACCACCCGTGTGCAGCCTTCTGGAGGGCCTGTGCAGCCTGCCCGATGGACTCGGTGATCTGGGAGAGTGAGACCCCTGGGCCGCCCCCAGGAGAAGGGGGCTGTGAGCCCGGGAGACTGTGTCCTGGGTGCCATGTCCGGGACTGCGATGCATGGAAGAGGTTGCCCTGCCTCCTTCCCTGCCGTGGGCTGCCCCTCTCCATTGATCTGCCTGCCCGTGTTCTCCTGAGGGTCTCTCAGGCTGCACCCCTCAGGCACAATAAGGAGCAGGATGCCAGACTGGCCATGCCAACAGGAGCCCGACAGGAGTCGCTGCCCGCAGGCCCCAGAGCAGGGCCATCCGGCTGCTGCGGTCCCTGGGCCCTCGTATTCCTTCTACCTCCATTAAAAACCGGATGGGAAACATTTTCCAGGTGAGAAAAATCCCCAAGGATGATAACGGGCACCTCGCTGGACCAATGGCTGAGCGGCGTAGAGGGGAGGCCGGGGTCTGTACCTGCTCCCAGGTGGGCAGAGTGAGAAGGACAAGGCGGGGCATGGGGAAGGGTTCTGGCTTCCTGACTCCCAAGGGCATTGCCCTCCCCTCCGGAGAGGAAAGAGCCTGGGACTCCTCCACTTTGCAGATGCCCAGGCCCTGCCCACAGTGCCACCTGACGGGGTAAGCCTGGCCCTGCCTGGGCTGGCCTTGCACCAGGCCACTCCCAGGTCCAGCGCTGGGGAGCTTGCATGGCTACTGCAGGGCCAGTCAGCAGCCACCTGACACACGCACACACACAACTCACAGCCACAGCCACAAATCCTTCATCTGTCCATGGATAAGGGAGGCCTCTGCCCCAAGGTAAACCAGAAGGCGCCCTCCTTCCGCATGGGAAGGGTGACCAGAGCCTCCTCTGGGACAGCTTGGTCCAAGGTTGGAAGCAGGGACGTGACTTAGGGAGCAGCCTGTCAGTGACCAAGTCCTGGCCCCAGGACCCATCCCGGCAGAGCCAACGTGTGACTCCTGCTAGTTACAGAGATGGCCTGGCCTCCCACACATCCACCCAGGCTGATATGCCGGCTGGGGTCTCACACGAGGCTGGCTCCCGGCAGGTAGCTGCTGGCTGTGGCCGAGGCCTGGGTGTGGGCAGCCAGGCCACTGTCCATCTCTCGACCCAGCCTTCTGAGCCCACAGGGCCCTTCCTGGACCCCCAGAGCAGATGCCGACGGGATGCACCGCTGTCCCCTGGCTGGGGGCCAGGAGGGAGGGGAGCGGCTGGACTGCACTGCAGGTGGGAGGGGCAGGCCCGGGACTAAGAGCCAGGAGGCGTGGCCTCTCCTGGGAGCTGAGACACCGTCCCCACAGGGGTCCCGGGAGGGGGTCCCCAGGGGCCTCCCCCACCGGAGCGGGCTGGGAGGGCGGGAGCCAAGGATGGGAGGAGAAGGTCCTGGGACCAGGGAGCCCGGCGCGGGGAGCAGGGACCGTGCAGGTCCCTGGGCGCGGGGGCCGGAATCGGGGTGAGGGGGTCAGCCCGGGGCTTCCGGGAGGCAGGTGGGCCCCCTGGCCCTGGGCAGGCTGGGCAGTGCCCCAGAAAGGACGGAGAAGGGAGAGGAGGTTCAGGTCAGGGGGGAAGAGCTTCGCGGAGGGGAGCGAGGACGCAGGGACAAGGGCCCCCCCCAGCCAGTGGGCGGGGCCTGGGGTGCCCGGGGCGACGCCCGTGCAAGGACCGGAAGCCGGCTGCGAGTTCACGGTGCAGGGCTCCTCGGTTCCGCCCGCCGCCCTGGGGTCTGCTCCCTGGTGGGGCTTGGCAGTCCTTGGCCCTGCCATGACTCAGCCTGTTCCGAGCCCAGCACCCTTCACCAGCGGGGAATTTGTGACGCATGGCGCCTCCTAAGAGGCACCCTGTGCATACTTGGTAGTTAAAGCGAATTAGGAGGGTGTTATTTTTAAGAATTTCAGAAAAACACTTGAAGAAGCCCAGGACAAATCCTTCAACTAATGTCTGAGGTCCTAGATTTAGGAGCAAAGCCCCCACCTCTCTCTAGAGCTCAGTTTCCCCTTTGGGAAGTCGGAGGGCATGAGACTCAGAATCTCAGATCTTAGAGGGGTCTCAGCTGAGAAAGAAAAGCGAGCTAATTCTCACTCAAGTGTGAGGGGCTTCGTGCCATCAACACCAGTGCTCTGTGCTTTAAAGAAAGCAAGGAGGAGGAGTTGCGGCCAGAGGCCAGGCAGCCCTGGTCCCCTCCGCAGGCCGCCGGGTCAGCTGCTGAGATTCCAGAGCTGGGTCGGGAGCTGGGCTTGCGTCCCCTGCTGTGTGTTCTTCCCCTCAGGACCTCACTGTGGACATGTGGGCACAGGGCAGCGACAGGACCCACCTCCCAGGGTTGGGGAGGCACAGGGCCTGATGGGAGGCAGAGGACGGGGCAGTGAACTCGGCCTCCCACCCACTCCACACCCTTCTTCTCTTGAAAGAAAAATGCTCAGCCTTCAGGGTACTACAGATCTGGCCTCTAGGTATGCACAGCCCACTTATTTTATAAAGTAAGGAGAGCCTCAGAATATTCCAGTTCTCTGGCCCCGCATGCCCTGCTTCGGCACAGCCTGCCCCTCTCCGGCCCCTTTTCCCGTAGGGTAGAGGAGTCGGCGGGTGACTCTGTGCCTCTGTATCTTTGCCCTTTTTGGCAGGAGGGGGCACTCGGCCAGCCCTGCACATCTGGAGCTGGGGCTCATCAGCCTGAGGCCTTAGGCTCAGGAGCACAGAGCCCCGACACCCCCAGCCCTGCCCCGAGCTGGCCAAGCAGAGAGGATCCTGACAGCGCCCCAAGGGCAGCACGGCCAGCAGGCTTCACCCGGGCTCCTCCAGGCCTCACAGTGACATTAGTTCCAGGACAGCTGAGACTGCCTAACTCAGCCTTGTCGCTCTTGGAAGGCAGAGGACGCAGCACACGCGTGCCCCAGGAGACGGGACGTGAGCTAGTGAATAGCAGGAAGCAGGAAGGCCGAGTTTAAAGAGTAGGAGCAGAGGAGGTGGAGCTTGGGCGGCACCAGCCCGTTGCGGGCCTTTCGGCTTAGGCAGGGATGTGGCCCTAAGGGAGCAGGCCAGGGACGCTTTTCCACAACCGTGAGCAATGGCCTCTCCCACAGACAGGAACACAGCAGCCATCGCTGCAACCAGCACCATGGCTCCCTGTCAAGGGAACGCTCTCAACAACCCAAGCAGCGACAGTCGCTCATTTACTGTTTGTTCGGGAAACCAAAAGAAACTACGCTGTGAGAAGAGTCTCTGAGGCTGTGAGTGCTGTGCTGGGCTCTGGCTTTCCCTGCACTTCTACCCCAGTCTGTCCCGCGTCTGCCTGGGGACCCTGCCTGGCGCTGCTCTTGCCCGACTGACTGGGGGGCCAGGACTCTGGGGCTGCACCGAGTCCAGCCCACCGCTGCAGATCATCTGTAGATGATGGTTCCCCGAAGGCAGCACGGCGGTCAATAGTTCTGTCCAGGCCACTTTCACACCGCGTAGTGGTCGCTGCAAGGGCCAGCTGCTCCGTGACCTGAAGTGTTTGTCACCCGCCCCATTGCAGGAAAAGGTGCAGCCTCTCCCTACACGCCTAGGGTGGTCCCCGCCAGTGACCCCGCAGCGCGAGTGTCTGAGACACCCTAAGACATTTCTCAGCTCTGCTGACCTGGCCCCTGGCCACCTGGGCCTGCCCTCCACACTTCAGAACCAGAAGGGGTGGAGCTGGCTTCACAGACCCTGCACTGCGTGACTCAGCTCGAGGGCCGGCTTGATTCTCTGCCCTGGGCCCCTCTCCTGCAACACCCTGGTCCCAGCCCTTCGTGCCCGGTGCGAGTGGGGGTGAGGTGCTTACAGCAGGTACTGGCGGACTGCTTCCTGGTTGGAGAGGCAGAGGGGAAGTGTGGAAGGGGAAGTGGGTGACTAGATGGACGGATGGTTGATAGGTGACTATTAGACAGATGGATGAATGGACGGAGGAGGGCTGGGTGGCTGGATGGGTGGGAAAGACAGAAAATGTTGGGCCAAGGGTGGAGTGTGAGAGGCACACAGGGCAGCATGTAAGAAAGTACCCACTCTCCACTCTCGGGTCACGAAGGATTGCATCCTGCTATAGTTTGGATCTTGAATGTGCCCAAAGGTCAAAGTGTGGAAGGCTTGACCCTGCCCTATGGTGCTATGGGGAGGCGATGGCACCCTTGGGAGGTGGCCCTAGTAGCTGGAAGTCACTGCTACTGGGGCACGCTTTCCAAGGGGATTCTGGAGGGACCCTAGCCCCTCCCTGCCTCTCTCTCTCTTCCTCCCTCCCTCCCTCGCCCCTGGCTCCCATGAGGTGAGCAGCCTCCACCTCCATGTTCTCCAGCCATGACACACAGCACTGCCACAGGACCCAAGCAACCATGGACTGCAACCCCTGAAACCAGAAGCCAAAATGAACCTTTCTCTTGCGCTGATTCTCCCAGGCATTTTGTCACGTGGTGGGAAGCTGGCTGACTCAGGTCCTCTTCCCATTGGAAGCCCTGGAGTCTGCCTGGGTTCGCCAGCCCCCAGCCTGAGGAGAGTGGAGCCTGGCTGTGATGAATCTAGCACAGACCCCCGGGCGGAGGCCAGCATGCAGCAAGGTCGGGTCAGCACACGGAGTGCAGGAGCAGGTGGAGTCCTGGCCGTGCCTTGCAGAGCCTGGAGAGCCAAGAGTCAGCGCTGTGAGTGCTGTGTGCTTTGGAACCTTCCTTCCCTCCTTACATCAGCACAGCACTGACAGAACGCATATGAACACAGTGACATAAATAACAAACACAGCGGCAGGGCTGGGGGTGGGGGATGAGCCAGGGAGGAGCTGCTCCCACCCCAGGATGAGTCACCTCAGTGCTCGGAGGCAGGGGCCACCGTCTGGGCCCACAGCCCACAGCCCCCGGGCCATCTTCCTCCTTCCTGTCTGGGGTCCATTCCTTCATTCACTCCCACAGTTGTGCACTTGGCAAGCATTTAGTAAGACTTTTTTGCTTTGCAGGAAATGCAGCCTGCAAGTGCCAGGATCCCTGCCCTGGGGGAGGGAGGCAGTGGGCAGGAAAGGACTCTGGGCCCCACGACGGCGTGGACACAGCAGACACTGGCCACACTGACAGGTAAGCTTGTGGTGCCTGTCAGACACTGGAGGGAGAAATGAAGGCTCAGGCGTGGAGCTGCACACCAGTTCCTCGCACAAGCGGGGAGCAGGGTCCCAGGATCCCAGCCACCACGCTGCGTGCTGCTCCATAGACCTGGTGAGTCCAGGCAGGGGGAGCTCAAGGCTCCCATGCAGAGGGAAACTGAGGCTCAGATGGAAGAAGGCACACCCCATCAAGGTCGCAGAGCTGCTCCGCGCCTGCCTGTGCCCAGCCTGCCCTCTGGCCTCTCCGTGTGTGCACGTGGTGCCTCTGTGCTTGCCCTCGCACAGCCCTGTCGCCAGCCACTCTCAGACCCACGCCAGGCATCCGTTGCCCAGCACCCTGCTCAGGCCACATCTGACCGCTCTGTGTGGCTGAACTGCTAGGGCCACCGGTCCCAGGCCCTGGAAAGGGTCACAGCAGCAGCCCCTGACATGGCAGAGCAGGTGACAAACTCAGACGGGCCCCTCCGCCCACCGGGTCAAGCAGCAGGGAGGACAGCACCGGCCTGTCACGGCAGGGACAGGGCAGCCAGGGGAGCAGACACAGGCTCCCACCCTGACTCTGGCCACCCCAGTGGGCCCCAGTCTGATCTGCACGGCCCTGGGTGAGAGTCCTCCCCTGGTATTTATAATGGATTTTCCACATCATTTGACATCTTGCAAAGCATAATAGGCAGAGTCATTTTTCAAAAGCAATTAGGCTGAAGTTTGCTGAGGGCGATCTGCCCCATGGACTCAAAAGCAATCCTTTCTTCTCCCCAAGTAACTGCTTGAGGCTGCCCGGGCAGAGCTAGCAGGGCAGGCAGGCCATGCACAGTAGCTGAGTGACAGCGGAGTGACACAATGTATCCTACCGGAGGGGACAAGTCACCACCTTAGGGTAGGTTCTCCAGTCCCTGCACCACCTAGAGGGCTCTGAGCTGGAGGCCACACCCTCAGGGACCTCTTTGGGGGGCCACCTCTCCAGGGACCCCAGGGAGCAGTAGTTCCTCAGGGCCACCAGACTAGTGTCCTGGGGCTGCCCACAGAAACTGGCCCTTGCTGCTGGGGCCAGAAGCCAGGGTCACAGGGGGCTGCACTCCTGGGCGGCTGGGGAGAAGCCTTGGCTCCCAGGCTGTCACATTGCTATGAACGCCCCCCACAGCCTTCTCCATGGCAGGTCCCCACACTGCTCCTGAGGGGCCCCTGTGATCGAATTCAGGTCCCCCTGGACAATTGGGACCCTTAACTCAATCCCACCATAGCCCCTTTTCCAAATGAGGAAACTCTGTCCTCTCCAGCACCAACTGGCAGCCGCCACCATCCTACTTCCTATCCCACGAGTCCGACCTCGGAGGCAGAGCCCAGCAGACCATCCTTCTGGCCTGGCTTGTTCTTCTAGAGCAGCACCCTGAGCCAGGACACCTGCTGCAGGGTGCATCTGTGAGGGCCGAGTCGGGAGAGGGTGTCTATGCGCAGCCCCCACAAGAGGGGGCTCCAACCCCAGACGCTTCTCTGACAGTGCCAAGTGGGTTTGAGGCCACAGCCGACAGGCCTCCTGTCCTCCTGCCCCAGAGACCAGATCCTCCATCCGACCAGGCTCCGAGTTCCAGGCTGAGGACACCTGCCGCTCAGGCTTCCAGCTTCCCGGTGCATGCTCAGCTGCTGCTTCTTCCCCACAAGACGACAAGCTAAAGTCATGCCGTGGTAATGCTGGGTTAATACTCTGCCAGTATCGTAATACTCTGGTAATGCTGTAGTACTGCTTTGTTAATGCTTTGGTGATACTCACTAATACTGTAGTGATGCTTTGTTAATGCTTTTTGCTAATGCTGTAGTAATAAATACAGAGTTTCCGCTGGAGAAAGTGGGAAGGTTCTGGAGATGGATGGTGACAGTGGCCACAGGACAGCATGGATGTGCTTAATGCCAAGGGACAGCGCCCTGAGACAGGCAACTGTGCCTCTCTTGCATTTTAGTGTGAGGAACAGGCTCGGGATGCACCGTCACCACTGTGACGGCTCTGGCTCTTTCTGTGCCCCTCGTAGTGGCAGCTCTGAGCGCACCTGAGGGTTGGACTCCATGACCTCGGTCCCCCAAAGACCCCTAGTAACCATCCCCGTGGGGTGAGAATTTCATTACGAGGAGTGGGGAACAAACAGACCACAGATGTGTGCTTTCATCATGAAAAGTGTGCTTCTAAATTCTGAACTCAGACTGACAGCACCCTGGTGCATTCCTGTATTCCCAGTGCTCTGGGAGGCTGAACTCAGGGGGATTGTGAGTTCTAGGGGATTGTGGGTAACTTAGCAAGATCTTATCTTGTAAATAACTTTTTAGACTCTGAGTTGGGGGGATACTGGGCTCACCCCCAGCTCCTGAGCTGAGAGATGGTAACCCACTGCCACTCCAGCCTCTGGGGAATGCGTTGCCTTTAACTAAGATGAACCGCTGCCCTGCACCAGTCCCTACTGCTGTCCCAGAACCAGCCTCTGAGGACTGACCTGCCGCAGGGTGGTCTGGGTGGTGCCTTCGTCCCCAGACCTCGGTGGGCCCGGTGGGACCCTACCTTCCCCTGCCGCTGGGCTGCCCTGGTCCCAAGAGTGCCCATGAGTGGTGTTGCAGCCACACGGCTGCATGGGAGCCCCAAGATAAGGAGCCCCAACACAAGGGGCTGCAAGCCGAGCTGGGTTTGGCACAGTGGCGGCCGGGTACAGGTGCAGCTTCAGATACGCACCACCTGGGCAGGGTGGGGCCCCGGCTTGTGTGCTGCTGGTGTCTTGCCTGCCCCTTCCTGCCCAAGCCCAGCCCTGGAGAGCTGGGCTCAGGAGACCATCACACCCCAGCCAGGGCCGTCCACACCCTCACCGCCTCTGCTGCACGGCCCAGGGCTCGGGCTGAGGACGCGGCTGTTCCCAGCCTTGGGACTCCTCTTTCCAGGCAGACACCCTGGCACGGCAGAGGAGTTGAGCAGAGGGGTCTGCAGGAGCTGGGACTCTGTGGAGAGTGAAGATGCCTGCGTGGGTGAAGGGGCCCTGTCCAGAGCGACCGGTCCCCCCCACACCGCCAGCCCTGGCTGACCCAGCCTGTGCCGAGCGGCCTGTCAGCTTTCGCTCTGAGCTTAACAAGCACTTTTAATTCATCATTTTAAACGAGTGTCAGACCCACGGAAAGAGTTGAAAGTTCCAGTTGCAAGAAGGCCTGAATGACTGCAGAAATGAAAGGGTGAGCTTTAAAAATAGAAGCTGGTGAGAAAGTGACAGCGCCGTGCGTTTGATGGAGTGACTCGTGGGACGGCAGTTCAGCCCCAGGACGAGCGTGAGTCACTAGTGCCAGGGCTGCCTGCGCCTGTGCCCGCCCAGAGGCCCAGAGCGGCTGGACATGGGTGGCTGAGATGTGGGCCGGCGCCGGGGCCACTGGGCTTCCGTCGGGGCCCAGAGGTCAGTGGGTTCACCGTGTGCCCCAGAAGTGAGCCCCACGGGAGCAGGGGATGGGGCATCCGCAGAGCTTTCCCTGCTGCTGGCTCGAAAAATAATAACAATGCTGTCTGAGACCTCAGGCACGGCAGCCACCGAGCAGGAAGAATGAATCAGAGCAAGACGGATGGCGTCTTAGGGCAGCAGCAGCAGCTCTGGGGAGGAAGGCGGGCCGTTCCCAGGTTGAAGAACTGGGGAAAGGAACGGATGGGAAGATGCAGGAGCTGAGCGGGAGGCCGGCAGAGTCTCAGGTGCAGTCTGACACAGAGGAGGCCACCGAGGGGCCGTGAGCCCCAACGCTGGCCCAGAAGGTGCAGTGGTCACAGGTCAGAAAACAGGAAGGGGCCCGAGCCTCTCCCAGCACCGGGCAAGAGTCCCCCTCCGGGAGACCCCAAGGCCCTGGTCCTAGGAAAAGACCTGGAAGCAAGTGCCCTGTCCCCAAGCCTGGCAGAGAGGTGGCCAGGGAACAGGAGCCCTCGCGAAGGAGAGAGTGGCAGTCACCGTGAGAAAGGGAGTGGGAGACACACGCTGCAGCCCGGCCTCCGGCCTCCATGGCGCCAGCAGAGTGGATTCTCCCCCCAGGGCTCCAGGCAGATGGCCCTGACCACTTCGTCCTCTTCCTGGCTCCCATGCCCCTCGAGTGGTCCCAGAGGGAAGGCCTCAGGGAGGAGCTCCCAGAACCCAGGGGTGTTTAGAGTAAATAAAATGTGACTGGCGAGGTGCTGGGCTTCCTGAGGGGCTCAGCGGAGCGGGGGAGGGGGGGTCCCGGTTACCCCGGCCTGGGGGTGACTGAGGCTTTGCTTAAAGCCAGTCAGGGACAGTAAACAAAAGAGGCTCGGGGCACAGGGGTGAGCCTCACAGGCCCTGCTGCGGGCCCCAGAGCACAAAGCCTGCAGAAGAAAAGGAGTCCTGCAGCGGGCCTGCCACACCCACCCCGGCCTGAGTCGCTCCCAACACTGTGCTGCCCTACCGTCTCAGAATTTGGGGTACTTGGGATTGAACCCAGGACCTTTGCACTGAGCTACATCCCACCCCTGTTTATTATTTTATTTTGTTAGTTAGCTAGTTAATTATTGCAGTTCTAGGGACTGAACCCAAGGGCTTCACACTGAGCTTCATGCCCAGGCCATCTGGGAGGGGAGGAGACAGAGCTTTGCTAAATCGCCCTGGTGAGACCCAAATGTGCAGTCCTCCTGCAGGAGCCTCCAGAGTGCTGGGATTTCAACCATGTACCACCACGTCCACTCTTTTTATTTCTTTAATTTTTTATTGATTTTATTGTAAGTTTTATAATACTGAAGATGGAGCCAGGGTCTTGCACAAGCTAGGAAAGCACCTTACCGCGGACTAAATCCTGAGTCCTGTTTATCTAGAGACAGGATCTCCCCAAATTGCCCAGGCGAGCCTTGAATGCCAAGTCCCTGCCTCAGCCCTCAGGCTTCCCCAGCCTTTTTAAAAACTGTTTTTAGTTGGAGACAGGATCTTGCTAAATCACTAACTTGCCCAGGCTGTCCTCCTGGAGGACTGACCTCAAGTCCTTGAACTTGAGATCCTCCTGCCTCAGCCTCCCAGTGTGCTGGGATTCCAGGTGTGCACCATGACTTCCGACTTGTCTCAGACTTCTCCAGCCCAATAACGATATGACCCGATTCCTTGAAGTGACTCTCTTAATGTGCACACATGGGCCCCTGTCACTCTTGTATAGGTAGCATAAACATCACACACACGCATACATCTGGTTGTGCTCCGTTAACAACTCTGACAGATTCATCTGCATAGAAAATACGGGAGCAAGGAGAGGACAGCGCAGGGACAGGAGAGCCTTGCAGGGGAGGAGCTGGCAGCTCGGGGTCAGGGCTGAGCCCGGGCCAGGCACTCTGCGCTAACCTCTTCCTCTGCACTACATTGGAGTCTGGTGAGTGCAGTCAACACCTCACGCATTCCACAGAGGGAGAAACAGGCACAGAGAAGCTAATTAACTTGTCTCTGGCCACACAGCTGCCCTCCTCAGGTGCAGAATCGGACCCAGGGCTGCAGAGCCCTGGCCCTGACGTGACCCAGGGGGTGATGTGCAGTCTCAAAGCGAGGAGGGAAGGCGCTGGAGAGAGCTAAGGCCGTGCCCACCCTGCCAGGCGTTGAGGGTGCTGTCTGAATCTCACCATGAGAGCTCGAAAGCTCGAGGGCCAATCAGACACCCAGGGACGCGCAGGGAAACAGAGAGGCTGGGAGCCGCTGTTGGGCAACTCAGCCAGCTGCCAGTCCGATGGGACAAGGGTGGAGGTGCTGGGGACGCAGCGAGGCTGGCTCTGCGGGGACCTCGCCCCTCCAGGGCTGTGGCTGCAGTCGGCCCCAGGTCCCCTGACTTGGGGGCCGGGCTTGGGAAGCCTCAGAGTGCAGTGGAGTCCCCAGGGCCACCCCTTCCCGGCCCTGGGCTGCCCTCGATCCCCTGGCAGCTTCAAGACTCACTCCAAACTGGTGTGGTGGCGAATCAGTCACCCCAGCTCCTCGGGAGGCTGAGACAAGAGGAGCCCCCATTCCAGGCCAGCCTGGGAAACTTCCTGAGATCCCGGCTCTAGGCAGATGCTTTTAAATTTGTCTCATCGTGAGCAGATAAAATGCCATCGAAATGACTGACAGAATTATCGTATGCAGCGCTGTGCTTTGATCTTGGGGAGATAGTTCTCGTTCTCCTACAGAGCTAAGTTTTGCATGCACAGGGTGAACACACGGGGCAGCTCCTCTGCTCTTCTCAGCTGTACTGACGCTGGCTGTGGTGACCAGACCAGCACAGTTATTCACAAGTTGTCTACTTTTTCCATTTATTAATTCTGCTGAGCTGTTGTTGAATATGTTCTTTTCTCTGATTCTTTGCATTGATTTGATGTTTAAAGCATTTTGCATACTGTTTATCATGACAAGTCTTCATGAAGTAAATAATTTTGCATATAACTGCATTAAGCACTGAATTCTTCTTCTTCTTTTTTTTGTACCGGGGATCGAAAGACCGAGTTCTGAAGTGAAAAAAATGAAAGTGTGTTTTGGACAGCACGTCTGAGATTCAAGTAATGGCCTTATTCTACAGTGTGCTTTGGTGCACCGGAAATGACAAAAATGAAAAAATGATGATAGACTGACGATAGATACATAGATGGATAGATAATAGAGCGATGGATGGATGGATGGACGGACAGATGACGGACCCAGACAGACAGCCTCTGCTGGGCCTGGTACCTTTTTGAGATGGCCCGACTGCCCTTCTCACCAGTGCTGTCTCTGTCCCTCTCCTGCTCCTGGGCCTGCTCCTCTCTCCTGGGTCTGAGTCCTCAGCAGCTCCTCTGCCCCAGACCCTGCGCCCACAAACCCCTCCTTTCCCGAAGTGCCCGACCGCCCTCCGCCCAGCCCATGCCCCACTTCCTCCCCCCGCACCCCACAAACCCCCAGCCGGCCGGGGCCCTGGCCTGCCTCCCAGCTGCCGACAGTGCCAAGTCACCCCACATGTCTGGACCTTGGGCTCTTCTCTTTAGGGTCAGGAAAATGATGGGCAGCTCCGCAGGCTGACTGAGAATTCTGCAAGGCCATGTGCTCCCCGCCGGCGCAATGTGCTGTTTGCAGGCTGTGGCCTTGCTGTTGGGTGCTGACTCCCCAGCAGGCCACAAACCCTTCGAGAGCAGGCCACCCCCTGCCACCACGGGATGCCCATGATGGGGCAGTTGGGGAGCTTCGCCCGCCTGTTTTCCGGCAGAGCATGCGTGGAATCGGGCACTCTTTCTCCCCGGGACGTCTGGCCAAAGTCGCCGTGAAGTCCCAGGGCCTGAAGCTGCTCTGCAGAAGGTTTCTGGCTTCGGGTTCACATCTGCGCTGCCAGCGCAGCAGTGGATGCTCCCTTTCCTCAGAGGGAGCTTTGGTGATTGTGTCTTTCAAGAAATGCGTCCCTCACCTGACCTGTCAAACTCACGCCTCAGCCCTCGCGCGGTGTCTCTTCACTCGCACAGGAGCATCTGGGACCTGTCTTCCGGATGCTGGGCCTTCACGTCTCTCTTTTCTCTTGCTCACTGTAGTGAGTGGCTTTTCAGTTTTATTGACCTTCTGAGAATCATCTTTTGACTTCGCTGATTTTTCTCTGTTGCCATCCTGTTTCCCGTCTTATGGATTTCTGCCCTTCTCTTTATTGTTCTATTTCTTCTGATCGGATTGTGCTTGATTAGCTCTTCTTTCATCGTTTCCTAAGGCGGAGGCAGAGTCTGTCCACGAACAGCTTCCTCCTTTCCAGTGCAAGCCCTGTCCTGCTCTGGAGTCCCCCTGCGGCCCCCAGGCTGCGGCCCTGCCTTTTGACGTATCACTCGGCTCGAAACACACTCCGACTTTCCTTGTATTTCTTCTCGGACTCCAGGGTCCTGTGGATTCCTAGTCGTTTACCAAATATTTGAGGGTTTTCCAGACACCCTTCTGCAGCTGATACTGATGTCTAATTTAATTCCATTGTGGTCAGAGAATACACACAAAGTGATTTAAGTCCTTTACATTATCCAGTCTTAGTTTATGACTCAGAATAGGATCCATCCTGCCCAAATTCAGGTCCAGTTGCTCCACGGTTCCACCTACGACATCTCCGTCCTTGCTGATTTCCTATTTGTACCAGTTTTTGAACAGCAAGCGTTGAGGTCTCCACTTGAAATTGCGCTTCTCTGTTTCACCTTGGGATCCTTCCCTGTCTGCCGAGTGGCTTGAGCCCTGTGGGAAGGTGCACCGCTCTGGCAGCGCTCGCCCTTGGAGGAGCTGAGCACTGGCTCACCCGGCCCCCGCTCTGGGCCCTACAGTCTGTGGCTGTTACCACTCCGCTGTCTTTAGGTTCCAGTTCGTGAGTTGGACACTGTCCGTTCCTCCTCTTTTACTCGATTCTGGCTGTGTTTGAAACCCTCGCAAGGCGCTTTGGAGATTCCTCCTCCTTTATCTGACAGCCTCTGCCTTGAAACTGAAGGCCGTAGAACACTTGCTTTTAATGATCAATGATTGGATTTTAAGTCACTACTTTTCCACTTCCTTTCCATTTTTCTCTGCCCCTCTCTTCCCTCTCTGCCTTCTTCACTGGGCTGTACTAGGGTCCCACAGGGTCTCCTCTGTAGGCTTGGCCGCAGGCTTCCTCCCTGCTGGTGACAGACGTCCCGAGGAGGCGATAGTCAGGGGCTGTGAAACACCAGGTTTCACAGATTTGCCTGGAAGTGGAAATCCCTGAACATCATTTCTTCAAATGGGGTTAGAGTCAGCTTCCCCGGTGACCCACCCACCCCCTGCCGCACGCCCCCCTCTGGGGACAAAGCACCCTGGGAAAAGCTCAGCTTCACAGGTAGACCCTGGGCCGAGTTCCCAGCCCCCGGGGGCAGCAGGGCAAGACTGTGAGCAGCTGTGAGGCAGCATGCCTGGCTCCGGACTCTGTCAGCACAGGTCTCAGCTCTGAGTCTCCGTCTTCCCTCCTCCTCCTCGTGTGACGTTAGCAGTGGCCGCCTCTCCAGGCCCCTCTGCAGACCGACGGGCTGGTGCTTGCCAGGCTCAGCCTGCTGTCCACTCGCTCAGCCCCTCCTGAGCACCTGTTCTGGGCTGGACACAGGTCTGGGCACACGGGTGACCACAGCGGGGACACAGGGCCAATACACCAGCCAAGTGAGTAAGTTACAGGACAGCACATGGGACAGGGCGGTGACAACACTGTGGGGACAAGGCCACCCACCAAGGGGGTCAGGGGTGAGGGGAAGCTGCGGGCAGGTGGGCCTACCAGCACAGGGGCTGGGGTCTCCTTGGGAAGGGACTTGGAGCAGACTTGAAGGAGGTCATTGTCATCATATGAGTTGTGATCAAAAGATATGGTGAATGATTAAATGTAGAAAAATTCATTACAGCTATAGATGCATTGCTGTGAATCCCTTCAGAACCTTCCCCCTTGCTTTGAACACACTTATCCCGTCCCTCTCGCCGCTTTCTGCCGCAGCTCTGGAGTCTTCTTTCCAGAGTGTCTCTAGTCGTGCTGTCCTGTCTGCTTTGATGTCCTGAATCCTTTCAAAATGCTTCCCTTTTGTGGTCATTTTGACTTTGGGAAGGAGCCCAAAGTTGCCCAGTGCCAGTCTGGTGAATGAGGTGGCTGAGGACGCAGTAGCATGTTTCACGAGCTGCCTTTCTATTGGGTGGCACTCAGTGGCAACGCTCATCATATGTTTGAGCCACCTTGGAAAGACACAAAAGAGGACTCAAAACTACTTCAGAGAGTGGCAAGAATGGTGGGATGAGTGTGTTCAAACCCAGGGGTAGTGTTTTGAGGGGATCCATGCCAATGTGTCTTTTACTACGATAAACTTCTCTGTAAACACATACTATGTTTTGGGCATTTCGGAACAGCTGCCCGTTGGCCTGTGGAGATGGGGTTGAGGTCAGACAGGGTGAGCAAGAGGCCGTCCCAGCAGAGATGCAGAGTGGGGAGGTGGCACTGGCCACGCTGCCAGCACAGAGTGTCCGTGTGATTTGTCTTTGGGCCCCGGCCCTGGCCCCGAGCGCCTAAGCCCTGATCCTGAGGGAGAAAGGGTCTCGCCTGTTCATGAGGTGACTGGGCCTGGCCACTCCCGGGGAGCAGCAGGATGGAGCTGGGCACCGGGAACACTGGACCTCTCCGCTGAGAGTTGGGACAGCCCCAGGACTGGGGAGTCACCAGCCAGGCCTGTGTCTGTCGAAACACAAAGCTGAGGCTCAGAGGGCTTCGGGACAGTGGGGCGTGGAAAGGCTCCTGCCGGGCAGTGCCCTGGGGCCCTGTGCCCTCACCCCCCATCTGCTGTCACTCAGTGTCCTTTGCAATAAGTGGGTAAAGATAACTAAGGGTCCCCTGGGCCTGGAAGCCTCAGCTGCCAGAGGCAGGGGCTCCGGGTTGGGCTGCAGAAGGGGCTTAGTCCCGGGGAAACTCAGCCTTGCTGACCTGTGCAGCAAGGTCACCTGGCAACTGCCAGCCTCACAGGCCCCAGAGATGTCCCCCAGTCTGGTCCTCAGCGACCAGTGCTGCACCACCCCAGCTTCATCTGCCCCAGGTGCCCTGCAGACAGCTAGGGGCTGAGCTCAGCTGTCCTGGGGCCCCATGAGATGGAGGTGGGCTTTGAGACCCCGACTGTCCCAGGCCCATGAGTTAGGCCGTGGTCCGAGGCAAGGGTCAGAGCTGCACCTGCACTGACCAGGTTGCAGAGAGGTCACAGGCTAGGCAAGAGGCTGGAGCAGGAGAGTCCCGGGACTCTGAGGAGAGCCCCACTCTGCCAGCCGGGAGCCTGGCCCTTGGGATCAGCGGTGGGCAGACAGGTTTCTGCACTTGTAGGAGAGGCCATGGAGGCTCTGAGCAACTGGGCAGAGCAGCTGCCCGGATGTGCCGGTGCCTTGGGCCAGGCTCCTCCTGCCCCTTCCTCTCCTCGGCTCTCGGGGAAAGTACCAGGGAGGCCCCATTTTCAGATGAGCAGGGCTCAGCCGTCTCCCAGAAGATGTCACCAAGTGCACAGAACGCTCCAAGGATGAGCTGTCAAACTAGAAAAGCATCCTCTGGATTGCAGCCTCGGATGAGACTCTGGAGCTTGGAGACATTTGTCTGTCTAGCTGCCTGGCTCTTGAGGCCTCGAATGTGTGGACGGGGCAGTGGGGGGGGGGCGGTTTTAAGGGCTCCGTTCTCTTACTGCCCTCTGTCCTGGGTCCCTGTGACCGTCACAGGGTAGAGTCAAAGCCAGGCAGCTTCAGGGCCAGCTGTCCCCAGCCCCGCGCTGCAGCCCACATGGGCCCCAGCTGCTGACCAGAGTCCCCGCCCTCCCCAACAGGCAACCAGTGTAGACCAGGCAGGGACCGGCGGCTGGCAAGGACCAGACCCGAACGCCCCGCCAACACCCCTCAGCCTGCGGCCCAGGGAA